AACCAAGTCAAACAAGTTTACATTCTTATCCAGATCTCACGGCATCAAGTCTAGGTTCAACTACCCATAACTAGGTTGGCCCCTCAAAGCCTCTGAAAAATATTCGTAAATAAGATCCTCTTAAGCCCAATAAGGGAAAATATAAATTGTCCCAAAGGCCTACCTAGATAACTGAATTTCTAGTGTTGTGCAGAAAGCCGCATGGAAAAGGCAGGGTTCGAGGTTTGGGGCTTCTGTGGCGCAAACCGGAGGTCATTGCCCAAAAGCCCTTACCCCTAGGGGTCCAGGTACCTATTATTTAAGGACTTTGGGGCCTTTTTGGGTACCTAAAACCATAAATAAGGACTACTTGGACCCTTAGGGTAAACCTTCAATTGGATAACCTCTTGAACAAGGCTTCACAATTTCTGCTTTGGAGCTTGCTTGAAACCCCTCTAGGTTTTAAGGACTTAAATAAGGAAATCATACTAAGGAACAACGTCTTTTATTTCAGGTTGGGCTTGGGGTCTCATAAACGCTGTAAAAACCCGGCCTGTGTACTCTGCCCTCGTGGCAATGACTGGCGCGACGCAATACTTCCTCAGCCGGAAGAATTTTGTCTCAGCTCTTCATGGAGGGTTCAGGATTCCTCGCAACAGGTTCGTCGCCTAATTTCCCTGATTTCTATGTCATAAACAGTTCCTTCACCACCTTAAACCCCAAACCCTAAAACCAAAGCCCTGAACCTTCAATTCAACCCTAAACCCTAAACCCTGAAAGCCCTGAAAGCCCTGAAAGCCCTGAAAGCCCTGAAAGCCCTGAAAGCCCTGAAAGCCCTGAAAGCCCTCCAGGGCCCGTAAACCCCTTTAAGCCCTATAGACCCTAGGGTTCAGGGTTTAGGGCTTAAGGGCTAAGCCACATCCGCGGGTGCCATCCTCACTCATGAGCTCATAGACTCGCACGCTAAGCTTTAGTTTAGGGGGGGGGGTCAACTCGAAACCCTGCAATGCTCTCAGCTGAAACCGGTCCGTAGGTTTCTAGGGTTTTAGGGTTATAGGATTTCGGGTTATAGGGTTTTCGACTTAGGGTTTAGGGTATAATTAGGGGTTAGAGCCAAACCCGTTTGAAGCCGATCCGGGGCTTGGCATCTCAACAACTGTTTGACTTTGCTTTTCTACTTGAGAGCTGGGATGTGCCTCTTAGGCTTCAGGCTCCCTACACTAAACCCTAAAGCCTAAACCCTAAACCCTAAACTAAACCCTAAACCCAAAGCCCCTAAACCCTAAACCCTAAACCCAAAGCCCCTAAACCCTAAACCCTAAACCCTACAACCTGCCCCCGTCTCTGACCGGATCTCCGGCATGCGGGCCTCGGGGTCGGGGTTGAGAGCAAGTCCCGGCGCAGCCTCAAGCCGGACACCTGATACCGAAATCCTAAAATACCCATAGGCCCCATAGTAGTACCTGATGGGGTTTACCTTATAGGATTCTATACATGAACCCCCAAAAAGGAACTACTTTAGGGCCTATGGGTAATTCAGCCCTTTCAACCTCTATATGAGCCATCTAGATCCGATAATTATGACTATCCTCGATCCCCGCAATGCCCGCAACCGCAAAGATGTAATCTCCACAAAACCCGCAACCCTAAACCCCAAACCCTAAACCCTATACACCCTAAACCCTACACCCTAAACCCCAAACCCGCAACCCTAAACCCTATACCCTAAAACCCTGAACCCCACTAAACCCCCAAACCCTCGAAACCCTCCCGACTTTTCTCCGGCTCTAGCGAGTGAAGCTCGCCTCCGGTCGGCAAAGGATTTAGGGTTTCGGGTTTAGGGTTTAGGGTTTAGGGTTTAGGACAAAGGGGTGCAGGTTCATGGGTAACCCTTAACTTCAAAGGGCCCTAAACCCTATAGACCTCAGCTCTCTTAACCCTAAACCCTAAAACCCTCTAAACCTACTAAGATAGTGGCCTTAATAACCAGAACAAGGATTGGAGGCCCATTTTACTACAAATATGGTAAGGAGTCCCCCGAAAATAGTATTGGTAATTGTCTAGGCCCCTGCACTACCCTTTTTAGGCTTCCTTAGAAGGATCTATAAGAGTCTCTATGGGTTTCTATAAGGGTACTAGATGGGTAGTATTGGCAAGGCCCCTACACTACTCCGACAGTAGCAGTGGGTACTCCGTACCCCCTAAACCCTAAACCCCAAACCCTACACTACTCCGACAGTAGCAGTGGGTACTCCGTGCCGCGCCAACGGAGTCGGAGCCCGGCCTCATCAGTAGACGATGCCGGGACCTGGCTGGGTTTTTTGGGGGGTGAGGTGTTAGGGTTTAGGGTTTAGGGTTGAGGATTTAGGGTTTAGGGTTTAGGATTTTGGGTTTAGGGTTGGGGAATTAGGGTTTAGGATTTTGGGGTTTAGGGTTGGGGATTAAGGGTTTAGGATTTAGGGTTTAGGGCTTATCCGGTTTAGAGGATTTGGGGTTCATACTTTGGGTTTCCGGGTTTAAATGGGGCTTTTGGAGTCTAGGGTTCAGCTTCCAGGTTTTCGGGTAGGGTTTCGGGTTTAGGGTGTAGGGTTTAAGGGATTTAGGGTTTAGGGATTCGGGTAGGAGCCTGTGCATTCTCGGGTTAGGGGTCTCGGTGTCGTTTAGGATTGAAATATAGGGGACCCGAACCCCTCCGTTTTCGATTTTTGCGCGTTTGGGGATGTGAAAAACCGAAGCTTCAAATCCCAATAAAGAGCCTAAGAGCAACTGTGATGTTGTGTTCCTCAGGGGTGGTTGCGAGAAGTGTTAAGGGTTTCTTTCATGCAAGAACGCCCTGCCTTGATCTACAGCGAAAGGTTGGATTTAAACCCTAAACCCTAAAGACTTTAGATTATAAAATGCTTGACAGGGGTTACACCAGAACCAGCTCGATGGTTTTAGACGCTCGCATCACAGCTGCCACATATCTGGTGGGCCTAAACCCTAAACCCTAAACCCTACACCCTAAACCCTAAAGACTTTAGAATATAAAATGCCTGACAGGGGTTACACCAGGAGCAGTTCGATGGTTTTAGACGCTCGCATCACAGCTGCAACATATCTGGTGGGCGTACAGCTTCTGATTTAATTCATGGCTTATGACATCAGTGCCCCAAAACCTAGACTCAAAGGGAGAAGCTGATAAATGGTGGCCCGAAATCAAAGCCACCACCTCCATGGGGTTCATGTGCCTACTTTTCGCACCAAACATACCTGATACCAGCCCCTTTTCAGGCCACAGGATGCACGAAAGGCACAACAACACCCTATGAAAACCTGTAGTAATGTAGGGGCCTGAGGAATTGGAATAGGGTTTTGGGCTCCTATACATATATATATATATATATATATATGTATATATATATATATATATATTAATAAGGAACCTACGGAATAATATAGGTAATTTTGTAGGTCCGTATAGAAAGCCCTTCTAGGGGCCCGTGAAGGAAGCCTGGCAGGGATTTGGATAGCGTCCTTTCAAAAGCGATGTTTACGGGGGAGTCGTAGGGTTTGGGGTTTAGGGTTTAGGTGGGGGCGGGGGGGTGCCTCCTCACAGAGGTCTAAAAGGAGCTGGGAAGTGGCGACATCCATGCTCGCCAAAAATCGCTCGCCTGAGGAAAGTCTGGTACGTGAGATCTTGGTTTGGGTTTTAGGTTAAGGCCGTTTTAGGTTTTTAGGTTAGGGCCGGTTAGGCCTTCGGGCCATAAATTCTGAGGTGTTTAGAACCTGGTGGTCCACGTGCTCAAGTGGTACTTTCGTGTTTCGGGTTCAGGGCTGTCGGGGAGTAGGTTCATCATCCCGCTAGCAAGTGTTTGGAAGTGTTTGGGCCTGGATAAGTGAGCCTAAGACAAGCCCTAAACCCCAAACCCTAAATCCTTAACCCTGTATTCTGAACCGAAAATCCTAAACCCCGAACCTTGAATCCTATAAGCCCCATAAGCCCCAAACCCTAAATCCTAAACCCTGTATCCTGAAGCCTAAATCCTAAACCCCGAACCTTAAATCCTATAAGCCCCATAAACCCCAAACCCCAAATCCTAAACCCTGTATCCTGAACCCTAAATCCTACACCCCGAACCTTAAATCCTATAAGCCACATAAACCCCAAACCCAAAATCCTAAACCCTGGAGAACCGGGTTCAGGGGTTTAGGGGTTTAGGGGTTTAGGGTTTAGGGTTTAGGGTTCAGGGGTTTAGGGGTTTAGGGTTCCCTGATCCCGGCCACCGATTTACGGAGGCCAGGGCTGTCTATAGGGCTTTAGAGGGCATTGAACCCTTTTTTGGGGGGTGTAGGGCTTAGGGATGAGGGTTTACCGGTTTACCTGTAGATCTCTTTACCTTCAGTTTAGAAGCCATTACCCCTTAGTCAATAGGTGGAACCCATAAAACTGCAAGTGCTTAGAGTCCCGGGTAGGGATCAGGGATGAGGGTTTTTTGACGTCTGGTGCTTAGTGGGGAATGGGGGGACTACTATAAGGGACCTTAAGGGACTATCATAGGGATCCATTCCCCCATTCCCTACTAAACCCTAAACCCTAAACCCTAAATTCCCTGCTAAGCACCAGACGGTTGAGGGCTTAGGGTTTGTGGATGGGATCAATGAAATTCGTGAGGAAGAAAACCTGCTGAGGTTTCTGGCACCCGACATGGGATCGCACCGTTCCTGATCCCAAACAAAACCCTAACCCTCAAAGGACTCAGAGTTTAAGGCTTTGGGCCCAAGGACCCTGTTACAAAAAGGATTTTGGGCTAATTTTGGTGCTGAGGGAAATACATGTGAATTGAGCCTTGCATTGCAGCTCCAAGCATCGACCGCCCTGATCAGAGCTCCCTTCGAAAGCTGAAGTAGGATGTAAACCCTAAACCCTAAACCCGGTATCCGAATTGGAAACATGCCAGCCGTGGCATCGTTCCTGCTGCGAAACACCAAACCCTAGATGCCCGCTGAAACCCATCAACTGCCGGCTTAGGGTTTAGAGTTTAGGGCTGCCGATCATCAACCCCTAATGGTGGAAAGCGTCGAATGCGTGTGGTGCTGACCTCTTCGGACCTTGGGAAAGTGATGCATTCCGGGCCTCTGGAATGCAAGACATGTACTCGAAGCGAGCATCAGAAGCTATATCCTGCTATTGTGCGGCTTCAGACCTCAAATATATGCAGATTTCACGCGTAACGAACCTGTGAGCAATCTGCATCGCAGGATTGAGGCACCTGGCTGCCGCCCTTGTAACATCGTGTGCAGAGCGCATGCTCGATTTTGCTCCACGAAAGCCGCACAAAATCCAACAACTTGAAGCCTCTGAGAGTGCAGCTCCCCTCGTCGGAGAGTCGACACTGGGTGGAGCAGACCTGGGCATCAGAGGCCCAGCACCGCAAGTTTTAGCATGGACAGCAAAGAGGGAGGAATGTCAAGTCAACAATCTACCCCTAGCCCCCCAGGTAGGGCCCTAGGGGCTCTAGTACCCTATATAGTAGGTACCTGGGGGGTTAGGGTACTATGCCGGTCTGGTGCTAGTAGGGATGGACAGAACTCTCAGAGTACAACCACCTTGGACGGTGCGCTGCTTGAACAAGGGTGTAAGCGCTGAGAAGCAGTTGGATGTAGTCGTCAGTGCAGGCAAGATAGGGGCCTTGAGAATTAGAATAGGGTTTTGGGACCCATTGTACAAACAAGCTCTGAATGACACACCAGGGCGACTTCTCACAGCCCTCTACAGACAGCTCAAAATACCAAAAGATCAACCCAAATCTCGAGAAACATCGGAAGATAGGAAGCTCCAGTCTCTTAAGCCTACCTATGGTCTCCATCGTAGTTCCTTGTTCCGGCTCACCAGTTTTATGGTGAGGATCCTATAATATAAAATCTGCTAACCAAAGCAAGGAACTACAATGGAGACTATAGCTAAGCCCCTACTTAAGTCACACGCCCGAGAGCCACATGGGTAGTTCGCTAAATTAGGATCCCTTTTAAGTCTCCAATATAGTACAGCACCCTTATAAAAAGGGACCCTAAAAGGGGCCCTAATTTAGAGAACTCCCCATATATATATATATATAATAATAATAATAATAATACTAACAATAATAATCATAATACTAATAATAATAATACTAATACTAATAATAATAATAATAAATATAACAATAATAATACTAACAATAGTAATAATAATAATTGTTATTATTACTATTATTATTATTCTTATTATACTTATTATAAACACACACACACACACCACACACACACCACACACACCACACACACACACTCGCCTGGAAGTTCATTGCAGACAAGCGGCGGCCGTCACGTGACAGCCTCCGATCTTCGGATGCGGTACTCGTCCCGTTTGAGGGATTTGGGTTTTGGGTTTAAGGTTTAGGGTTTAGGGTTTAGGGTTTTGGGTTTTGGGTTTAGGGTTTGTAGGGTAGGGTTTAGGGATTTGGGTTTTGGGGATAATCGCTGAAAAAAAAAAGTTCCAGGTTTTGGGGCTTAGCACACTTGGGGTTCCCCCTGAACCCTAAACCCTGAACCCTAAACCCTGATAGTGTTGCTGCCAACCCCACCAATGCGCGAATGGAGCCACATGTTCGGTCTACACTTGGGTATCCGACTGTTGGCGCAAACATGTGGCTGGTCTTCTTTTCCCTTGAGTGCTGCCTCTGATGGCTGTCGGTAATGCTGACCATGAGTGACATAGTGACATCTTGTCAAGTTTGTCTTTGAAGTTGCTTCAGTCGTCTGTCTCGAAATCCTGCTTTCAACTCTGGCAACATGAACCCAGCAACCACATGCGAGAAGAGTCTCGAGATGTTCTCAGGGACACGGCATATGAAGGTGCTGCGACATCCAAAGCAGAGAAGCTGAATCTGAACAGGCCTCAGCGAAGATGGCTCCAAAGGCGTAGTCAGGGATTGGGCTAAACTCCCGCTCCCAGCGATGATGTGGACCTGCAGCAGGAAGTATGCTGAAGGATCGTGGGAGGGGGTGCTCAGGGTACCGTCTCTCTCAGGAATTGGCGCAACCAACGCCCAAATCCTCCAACACTGGAGGCAGGAGATCCCACAGCCCAGTGCTTCAAGCCAGCAAAACCACTGAATCAAGCCACGTAGCTTGCTTCAATTACAGGCTTAGGGTTTGCCTGGGCTCTACCTGTAACTCTCTTTACCTACAGTTTAGCAGCCATTACTCCTTAATCAATAGGTCGAACCCGTAAACCTGTACATAATTAGAGTCCCAGGTAGCGCTTAGCTTATGTTTCTTACAGTCTACATGCTTGCTGGCGACATCCGCCAAGTAAATCTTTCAACACCGCGAGAAACACTTCCAGTTCCTGAACAGTGATTCCAAACGGAAAGAACCATTATTTCTGGATCATCCCTAATTTCCAGGCATCATGACTCCTGCGCTTTATGCCCACATGGACTGGCAGACCGTGAGTGTTTATGATCGCTTTCCAACTTACCCAATCGTCGTTGTCCCCAAGTCCAATCAGAATCGACCTTGAAAGGTTGAAGACTGGGGCCCTAAACCCTAAACCCTAAACCCTAAACCCTATATCTGGGTTACAGCTAGTGTCCATGTGCCCATATAGCGTATACTTCGACTCTAAAGTGCTCATATAGGGTGTACTTTAAGGCCAAAGTCTGTATTAGGTGGGTACATGAACCCATATACCCTAAAGCCTTATGGTACCCGTATGGTAACCTCAGAGAGACCCTTGAAGAACCCTCATATAAGAATCCGTATGCGTTTTGGCTATTCACGTTTGTTTCATGGAGCCTGTGAAACGTGAAGGCGGTACAATGCAGAAAACTGCAGCATCGGTTTAGGGTTTAGGGTTTAGGGTGACTGTCAAATCTATAGCCAGACAGCAAAACACGTACAGCTCGACATTATGTGTTAGTGTAGTGTAGTACAGTCAACTTGCCCACAAGAGAGAGCTTGGGCTACTGATCTAATATAAGGGCCTTAATCATCAGAGCACGGTTTTGAGGCCATTGTTATGATCATAACAAGGAACCCCGCCAAAAAAAAGAAACATTTGTAATTATTTCGGCCCTTGTGGTACACATCAACCTCCCAGTAGAGCCCTAGAAGCAACCCTAAACCCTAAAACCAGTGGTGCTAGAATTGTGACATTCTTCCTTGGCAAGGTCAGGAGATCGCCCGGGAATTATTTATATCATTATCTTCCGGTTTCGTTATGATTTAGGTGTCGTCGCCGTTTACGATTTGGATACGGTTCTGGTTG